GCTGGGCAGCCGGCGCCCTACCGCCGCAGGACAGAGGAGGGGAGGGGAACAAGCTACAACCAGAGCCCCTTGGAGTGTGCCCACGTGGTCCCACCGCCCCCAGCAGGAGGGGCGGGGGGAGGGGGCTTAACATCCGGTGACCAAGGATCCTTGTCAGTCTGGGGGCCGTCACCCCAAATCAGGGCAAAAGAACATCTCGAGCGGTGCGGAGAAACCAAGGTGCCCAGGGCTCCACTCTGTTAATGCCTTCCAGTGTCCCGTGGACCAGTTAGGCCCGTTAGGGAGGCTGTGGCCCTAGTGGCGCAGCAGGCTGGACGATTGGCTGCTAACTGCAAGGCCGCGGCTCAAACCGCCCAGCAGCGCCCAGCGAGAAAGCCACTAACGATTACCACCTTATTTGGGGCCAGCATGGGTGGGCATCCACTCCTTGGCCTGGGTCTGGTTGGGTCCTGTGGCCACGTGCTCCGCTTTGCTATGGGGAAGCTGAGGCTCTGAAGAGGGGAGAGGCGTGGCCACGCACACCTGGGGCAGGTCCCCACACCTGTGTCTTGCCTGACCTGACCTTAAAGACCCCCGGAGTCAGGAGCCCAGGCGCTCTGGGCACAATGGTTACACACTCAGCTGCTATCAGTACCGTTGGTGCTGTGAACCCAAACCGCGGTCCAAGGGAGCACCTGGCCTCGGCTCCCATAGAGGCGGCCCAGAAATCCGCGCGGGTGGGTTTGTCACACGGGGTCCCAGCAGTTGAAAAGGAGCTCAACCGCTTACGAGCTCTGAGTGGAGCAAACGTCTGCCCAGACGTTGGCGGTTCAGACCCACCCTGCAGAGCTGGTGCTGCGCAGGAAGTTCAGCTGGGGCAGGTGGGGGGCAGCTAGGGCCCTTTCAGCCCTGCCACCTTGTCTCTATCAAAGCCCATCCCCTGTCCACGCAGAGTCCCCAGCATCCTGTGCTGATGGGGAGTGGGGGCGAGGGACAGGTCAAGTGAGGGCCGGGCTGGCATCTGGAGTGGGCTCTGAGATGGCAGACATCACAGGAGCGGCTGAAAGGGGGACCCTCACACCTGGCCAGCTACAGCCACCCCCATGGGTCCCCTGCAAGCCCTAAAGCATGCACACAGCCCATTTCCCTACTGGGCTAAGGTGGCTTTTCCCTCCTTCAAGGCCTGTGTGTGCTTCCAGACCCCACCAAACCCACAGCCCGAGCTCCCTTCTCCAATGAAGACCATTTTCTGCCTTTCTGCCGTGGGACTCCCTGTTCCCAGGAACACAGGCAGGGAGGTGAGGGCCACTGAGAAGACCCTGACTCTGCCTCACGGTCTCCCGAAAGTTGAGGTCCACTGCTGGGGCTGGGGCTGTGGTGCTGGTCCCGCACACCCAGGGTGTCACCCAGGTGCACCCCGTCCTTGCCGGCCCTCCACGTCACCAAATATAACGTCCTCCTCCGTGATGGGTCCCTCCTGATGACCTGTCCAAAGCACACAGTCGTCCTTCAGTGCATTTTGGAAGCCAACCACCAGGCCCATCTTCCTACTGTCTTCATCTGGAAGTTCTGCTGAAAGCTGCCCACACAGGCCTCGAGACCCTCTGGAGCAGGGTGATGCTGCTGGCATTCGACACGCCGGCATGGTCACTTCCAGGAGCACAGCACTGTGGAGACCACCACAGAACAACAAGCAGACGGGTGGTAGTGGCATTGGTGGCTGGTGGGTGTGGCTTGGGGGTTAGGGAGGTCCCCTTGTCACCTTGAGACATCACATACAATCCCTGCTCTCCTTTCACTGGGCAAGAAGCAGGCAAGAGCGTGGCTGAGCAAACTGAGCTCCTGCCCACCCGCCAGCCACTGCTGTCAGAAGGCTGGGGTGCAGAACCCAGAATGGTAACCGAGTCCGGATACTCCAAGGCCCCCAGTGTCATATGGAAGCTGAGCTGTGGGGCCAGAGTAGGAGTTGACCTGAGGGGAGAGATGGGGAGAACATTCCAGGCAGAGTGTGCTGAGGCCCCAAAGAGCAATGGGTGGCCCACCGCCATGTGCCAGAACTCAAGCCTGGGGGTGAGTGGGGCTGGCTCAAGGCCTGTGAGGGTCTCCAGCATGGAGGGTGAGCTGGCCAGGGGAGGGGTAGCCCAGAAGTGGGCAGTGGGCGGGTAACCTGCCCGAGCTGTGCCGGAACCCACGAGGCGTTTCTGAGAAAGCATGAGCATCCCATGTGCTCTCAACCCCAAAGCCAGCAGCATTCTAGCGAGTAACTAGGGGCAGGGGTCAGCGAGGACCCCTTGGAATCATTCCAGGAGGAGACCACCCGCAGGCTCAGGGGCGCCAGCTGTGGAGAGGGGGGGTGGCTCGGTACCTCGGAGTCAGTCCTGACTCACAGGGACCCTGTGTCCACCCAAACAAGACACTGCCTGGTCTCGCACCATCCTCCCAAGTTCTGCCCTGTCTGCAAGCATTGTTGCAGCCACTGTGCCGAGACCCTCTGGAGCAGGGTCTCTTCTCTGCCATCTGTCCTGGGAGCCTGGTTTGTCGCCGGTGCCTTCGGTGCAACTTACACGGCTTCCTTCAGTGCCATCAGTCCTGGATCACATCCTACCTCCTACGGCAGCTGGAGGTCACTCGGCCCGTTTGCGACCTTGGCTTTGCGTATTCCTCCATCCTCTGAAGCCGCCTGCCTCGCTCCCTGTTTTCGCACAGAACCAGTCAGTACCACAGCTGGAGTTGAGTGTGGAGACCGGGAGGGGCAGGAAGGGCAGGTGTGAGTCACACCAAGATTCTGTCACGACCTGGTGACCCACTTGCGAGACAAGGATCAGGATACCCAAGCCTCTGGCTCAGGTGACTTCTCCGCACCCACGCCTGGAGTGAGAACTCCCGAGGCCAGCTGGACGGGAAGACCAGGGTAGCGGGTTGGGGACACGAGTGGAAAGGTGTCCTGTGAAGCTGAACCGGCATGCTTGACAGGACATGGGGCGTGGGAAGCTCTCACCAACAAGAACGTCTTCCTCAGTCCCCACTGAGGAGCCCCTCAGGGAAGGCGCTCGCTCTCGGCCTCTGTCCTGGGTCCCACGCCCTTGGCATCGCTCCATCCCCATTGGGGCTTCCTTTCTTCTGTGCTAACTTGCTGATGGGTTTAAGCCCCTACAAGATGAACTCATTTACCTAACAGAAAACCCTTGCCAAGTGGGATGAGTTCAACAGGCATAGATAGGGGTTGGGCATTAACTTTGGGGGGGGGGGTTGTCCTTCAGTCCCTAACAGTTATAAAAGGCCTGGGAATTGACACCCACTGTCCTCTTGGGGAGTGTTGATGGAGGTCGGCCCCGTGCCTGGTGCATGTCGGACTCAGCCCCACTGGAGGACCTCTTGTTCTCTTGGGGAGGGGCCTGAGCACATGACTACTGCTCTGGGGGCAGGGACCGAGGACAGTGGGCAGGGGGGACAGCAGTGGGCCATGTTGAGAAGGTGCTGCCGGTGCCATGACTGGATCAGAGCGCTGCTGGGTGAAGCCCACAGGACCAGCCTGAGTGTTTGCCTGTTTTTGAAGGTGCTGGAAACGACGGGCCTGTTGT